GAGGTGGCAGGAAGCACCAAATCAGTTGCCTTGTATTTTTATTTTGGTATAGTATTTGATTTTTACAAAAAAATTCTCTGTGTCTATCTTCTTGCTAGATGGTAAACTTGCTCTTAAACAGAGGGGCCAATCTGAGCACATGTGACAAGAAGGAGAGACAGCCAATACATTGGGCAGCCTTCCTGGGTAAGTTCCCCTCCCCTTTTGCACACCCCCTTCATTCTGTTTGATGTATTTGATATATACAGGTCTTTAAGAGAGGCTATATATAAAAATATATACCCAGGATATTTGCCCAGCAAGAATAAAGGATGCCCAGATGCTATCATTATGATAGCATAATGAGTAAAATAGTGAGCCAGAGATAGTAGGTTGCTGCTGGCATACTGCTATATCCCCTCCCCCATTTTATTTATTTGTTAACATTTTTATATATTGCTGTATTTCCAACAATTCCAACAGTAACCAATAATAAAAACCAGAAACCACTCAAAAATCAGTAATGAATGGTAACAAGTCAAAGTCTGTATGGAATAATTCTGTCTTGACAGCCTTCCTAAATGGGAGGGTGCTGTCTGAATTTCTGGGGTGATGCTGTTCCAAAGGAGTGGAGAACCTGTAGAAAAACCTCCTAGCAATCCTCCCCTCCTCATACAGAGGACTACAACTGGCACACCAGCTGAAGCTGGGCAAAGGCTTCCCGTCCACAGTCTCCACCTGCATATTTAGCAATACTTGTGAGTCCAGAAGAATCCCCAAGTTGCTGACCTGTTCCTTTCAGGCAGTACAACCCCATCCAGAGTCAGAACTGGACCTGGTGGAGAACAAGTTGGTTTTTGGACCAACAAGACCTCCTTGGGTCAAGACTTCCACCATATCTCTGGTTCAGCCAGGCATTAGTATCTGATGCATACTAATGATACCTTACTCAGACTAACTGATAACTTCACCCAGGGGTTTCACGTAGATGTTAAACAGTAGTGGGGAGAGAATCAAAGCCTCTGGAACCCCCCAGGAGTAACCACAGGCCAATTTTTCCTCCTCCCACCCTCCCATTTATATGCTGGTAGTATGCAAAACTATCTTCCCAGGAAATGTTAGTGGGGAGGAGATATGTTGCTAGGAGCAGAGGTCCAGAGCAGAACCAGGGTGGCCCACATGAGCAGGAGCCCAGTGAGTCCGCCTCATATCAAAACAATAGTCCTAGTTAAGTAACTGATTGCCACTTTGTATCTGGTACCAAATACAGAATTACCTCAGAGTAATTTGCTTTATCTTCAGTAAGGTGTAGGATGTCACACCAGGGTAAGGGGCAGCTGTTACTACTGTTACTAGATCTGCTGCTTAACATTTCCATCTTTTAATTCCTACCACCCACTGATTTCACTACTCTTGCCACATTCAGTCTGCAACCGGTAATGAATTGCATAACCCCCTCCAGTTAGATGGAATTTAATTATACAAACAGGCATTAAGATAACATTAGCAGCTGTTAAACTACTATCTGGACCCATTAACTCCCCAGTAATCTGTTTTATACTTCAGCTAAGAAGCAAAAATTTGGGACAGGAAAAATTGCCATTTTTTCTATGTTAAAGAACCAAGTTGTCTTTCATATCGTAATTTCTTATGAAGCAAACTACAAATCTCATGGAGTTTGTATGAGTTCAAAGGGGGCACCAAATTAGAGTACTTTTCCCTCATGAGCATATCTCCCACTTGGGACCATAGCTTTGTGTACACATGTTTATGAGAAATTATGTGTAATTACTTGTCCAGCTCCCATTATAGATTTTCTATATATGAACTGGTTATTCAATAAAATTATTTTTATTTCATTCTGCAGTAGTAGGTGGCATGATTGATTAAACCTCTGTTTTGCAAGAAATGCTATAGTATAAAAACCCCAGTCTCTTTTTCCAGTGGCAGTTTCCTTAAATGTACTGCACAAATTTGTGTTACTTGGTCTTTTCACCCTTTACGTCACAAAATATTTTATTCTTCTAGGATTTTGCTTGATTTAGTTCTACATCCAATTTTCTTACTATTTTATTATAGCCTGGGACTGTAAAAACATCCTTAACAGAAAATATGCTGTGGTTCTCCCTACCTGTCACATCTATTGTTATACCTTTCAAAGATTTAATTCAAACATTCACATTTTATGGGCTAGCTATCTTTTAGATAGCTTTGGTTACTTAAAAATGCAGTGACAGTGCAATTTGGAGGTCAGTAGAAAGATGCAAAATATCATTTGTTAAACCCAACAGATGAATAAACTGTGTACACAGTAAAGTGTATTCTTAAAAATATGATTCTTTGAAAAAGAATGTTCTCTTTTCTGCTCTGCATTTATTGAGGCTGTTGATGGCTCCTGAGTTTTGAGCAGAAAACATCAGGTCTTCAGGCTACAATGTAAGACAGAGTAAACCAGTACGCTTACTTCTGCGAAACCTTTGATCATGACACTTTTTTGGACTCTCAACTACCAGTATTTGGTTGGATGGAACTGATCAGAAGAAAGCAAGAAAGAAGTAGTGAGGACTGTAACAGATGTGTGGACTTTGTGCAGCAGACATAATCTAATTTACATGATCAATGAAGCTGACTAGGGCTAAATTAATCCACTTGGCCTTTGGGAACACCGCATTTTCCAGTTATTCAATCTGAGTGGGAGCAGCTGTACTGACTCTATGCAAAGTAACACTGAACTTTAATTAATGTGCATGCTTCCGCCCCCCATGTACATATATACACCCACTTTTAAAACAAAAGTTTATTTCAGAATTATAAAAACTAGTTGCTTTGAAGCTAACTAATATCTTCTTAGTGGAATGAACCAAAAGGGGGAAATGTGAATGCTGGAAACATATTAAATGTATGATGTTAAAACTGGACCATAGTTTAATGTTGTTTCCGAAAAGGCTAGTGCTGCTTGAACTCCTAACTCTTGGTCAAAAGAGAGGCATTGAGCTGCTGGAAAACATGTTGCAATTCTTTTTGGGGATCTGAAACCCCAATTAAATACTTTGAATACAGAAATTATTGCAATTAAAACTAATTAGGTTTTAACCCCAGGTATTATTGGTCCTGAGTTAATGCTGTACTTGGATTAACAGGGTAGCAGGAATTCCTGCTAGAAAAGAATCTTATTGGGGAAAAGAATTTACAACCCTGCATGCTACCCATAGTCTCCTATTCTGTCCTGTTCAGTGCTTGAATAATGTTATCCTAAAGTACTTGGCATTCAAAATTTGAACCTTGCTTCTGTTGCATTCTGTTATCATGCTCCACATAGTAGGATGAGTATGAAAAAACACCAGTCTAGGTAAGAATCTACCATAATAAAATAAACTCCTGAATCTTGCAAAATCATCATACGATCATAAAATTTGAATAATCCTTTCAGATTATTTTCTCATCTAGAATATTGTAACCCCATTTGCTGTAGCATGGAAACATTTGAATGGTTTCAGTTTTTTGCATTGTCTCTTCCTAGGGCATTTGGAAGTCTTGAAGCTACTGGTGGCCCGTGGAGCTGACATCACGTGCAAAGACAAAAAGGGTTACACACTGCTGCATACAGCAGCAGCCAGCGGCCAGATTGAAGTTGTGAAACATCTGCTGAGGCTTGGAGTTGAGGCAAGTGTGATGATAGTGCCAGTTTTAGTGGACGCTGGGTTGCTCTGTACTGTGCCTATGCTCTTTTCAGGAATGTTCCCTCCAGATGTGCGCGTGCATAATTTATGCAAATTAGACTTACTATGATAGTACATATGTCTTTTCATATTAAGCCCCTAAATCAATTATGTATGCTGCTTATTTTAAAATACAGGTAATCCTCAGGTTACTACCACTTGTTCAGTGACTGTTCAAATTTGCAACGGCACTGAACGAGGGGGACTTATGACAGGTCCTCAGAGTTCCAGCTGTCACAGTCTCCCCATGGTCACATGATCGTGATTTCTAATGTTTCCTGCTGGCTTCTCACAAGCAAAGTCAATGGGGAAGCTGGCAGGAAGTTGGAAGCTGCAGTCCCATGAGGACCTTGTTTAATGACGGCAACTGGGACTGCTGTCGCTAAGTGACATGGTCACATGATGTTGCATTTTATGACTCGTCATTTAGCAATGGCAATTCCAGTCCCAATTGCCGTCATAACCCGAGGACTACCTGTAGTAGTGTTTGAAAATTGAGAGCAGCTGCCAGCATATAATACAGTGGTACCTCGGGTTATGAACGCCTCTACTAACGAACATTTCGGGTTACGACCAGCTTCGGCAGGCAAAATTTACCTCGGGT